AGGCCCACCACTTGCTCTAATTTTTGCTGCACTGGAGCAGGCAACCCTTTTTTCACGATGCTTTTGAACAAGGCCTCTGTAGATTTATTTGGTATTACAGGCGCTCCCTGTTTAATCCCTCCATTTGCTCTGACCGGTCCCTCTAAGTGGCTGCGCTCCTCATCCTTCAGAACCTCCCCCTCTAAATTAGAGGGATCTCAATAATCAGAATATTGTTTCCTCAGCACCTCCCGCAGCACAGTATGATGCATCCCTATATTTACATCATACAGCAGATTGCTTTGGCAGGCTCAAACCAGCTTAGCATTTTCAAAGATGTTTACTCTTGCATGTTTGCCAACTACCTTTCAGTAGGAGGGCTTTGATAACTCCCAAAGCCAAGGTTTTATGCTAATCTTATGATATACATGTGAATAACACTCGACCTAACTACATCAAATATATGGGTTAAATGCTTTACATGGTGATAACCACCTTTTTCAATCTCTGACTGAAGTTACGTCAAATTCTTTTTAATTCCTGAAAAATAATCCAGCTGTACCTTCAGCTTTGTGTTAACCTAAGACTTTCAAGTTATTCACAAAATGAAGAAATGTTTTTCTTTAGGCGAGTTCATGTAATGGTGAGACAGTATTATCTCGGAGATGTAAGGTGTTTTGGTACAACTTCATAAAGGGTAGTTGTAATTACTTAAAGAAGACTCAGACAAAATATTTCTGTATGAATACTGTCGATTTTAGTATACCCGTTGTTTGCAACCAGGATTTGCAGCTGTGTCCAGAGAGTCGTTGGACAATGTAGAAGAAGTCATAGAAGTAACAGAGACAAAGATATAAGATAAGAATGATACAGGAACTGTGAATTTGTGGAGAACAGGAGATATTTGAAAATGTAATTTCCAACATGTAACAGTTAGAATGTGGTGACTATAAGTGGGAATGGGAAATACAGAAAAATAGAGTTTAATTAAGGGTAAAAGAAATATTTCAAAGGAAGGCAGGTGATGTAGTTTGTAAGGCAATATGTGGGTTTTTAAGAGCAACAGCAACAACTATTTGTATGAGAGTAGGATGTAAAAGCTGTTCCGAGCCACTCTCCAGTCCAGAGGGTGGCGGTATAACACCTAAAGTTGTTTGCTACCCGCCATAAAAAGATAGGCGAAGAAGAAGGGTCTTATGACAATGGTGACGACGATGATGGCGTACAGGAAAGTGCCGGTCCAATTGGGTGTGGATCGTTGCGCAGATCTGTAAACACTGTTGATAGTGAACTGGGATTGTGTATTACCATACGCGGTGCATGTTTGCGTTATCAGTAAATCCCTTTAGTCTTTGTCTCGCCGAAGGGCGTGTTTCGTCAGTAGGACTTCAGGAGGTGTGAAGACGCGTACTAAAACAAGGGACTGCACCAAGTCAGCGGACGGTAAGACCAAGTTAACCACTGCTTGGCTGTAAAGCATGTATTCTGGTAGCGATCATGTCGATGAAACAAGTGAGTGAGTGACTCAGGACTCGAGGTGTAATTGTGGGCAGCACTATAATGTGTTCTGCATACAAAGCGCCAAACCCTCAACATTCATGTAACGCACTTCAAAGAAAAGAAACGGAAAAGCTGATCGTTAGGCTCCAGTTTTCAGGTATGAGTCCTGGTGTACAACCAATGCAGCACGGTTGCTTTTTTCTTTGCGTTTAACTCAAAGTGTGCGGAGTTTGCGAGCCCTTTTCAAGCGCTTCTCTGCGCTTCTTTCAAGAAATGTTCAGACATATTGGCCAACATGTAGCTTACATGACAACAAGCTGGCGCATTTAAAATAAATAAATAAATAAAAATATCCTGTAATAATGAAGTCCCTGGGGCCTGGTTTAGAGCGTTACATTTCATAAATTGATTATTGCTGATTTCAAGTCCACTGCCATGCTGTACAAAAACGTTCTATATGCCCAACAAATTATGAATTGAACTGTACGAATATTTCCTGTACAAATCCATATACACTCTCTCACCACTTTATTAGATATGCATGTAAATATCTAACCAGTAGTTATGGCAGCAACATGTAGCCATGGTCAAGTTGACCTCCTCGGGTTCAAACGGAGCATTAGAAAAGGGGCATGGTTGTTAGTGCCACACAAGTTAGTCCCACTATTTCAGAAACTGCTGATATGCTGGAATTTTCCCACACAGCCTAAGCTTTACAGAGACGGGTCAGAAGAAGAAAACAGGAATGACAGTTTTCTGTCTACACCCCCAAAT